ATCCCCACCCTAACAAGGCACTTCCGGGTGGGTTCGAGGACTAGGTGGAAGGGGTGATGTTCAGGAATGGGCAAGAGAAATTGGGTAGGGGGAGAGCAACACCTTGCCAATGATCCGGTGCTGCTGACCCTGGCTTTGCCGCAGTGCCACCACCTCCCTCCATAAGATCTCGTTCTGCCTGGGGGAAAGGCGGGGGAGGGTGCTGAGGCAACTGAGAGTTCGCCCAGTCACCACCCCATCCCAGAATGGCAGGCTTGAACTCGCGACCACTCAGATGATCATCCATCCACAGACAACAGTCTTCCACAGCTGAGCCCAGTGGTCTAAGTGGAGGCGCCAAGGCACGAGAGAGGAAGGAGCTGCCTAGGACCGCCTGGCGGCCACTGTCCTCTCGCCCAGACCCCCGTCCCCCTCCCCATCCTCCTCCGCCCCCTCCCCCGCACTGCCTGAGCTCCCGCAGCCGCGCCTCGGTGCTCTCCTGCACTCCCCGCAAAGCCTGCACCTCGCCCAGCAGCCGGCCCATGTCCTCAGGGCGCCAGCGGCTGTCGTCGCCGCGCAGCGCAGGCACCTGCAGGTGGGAGGCACCATCAGGTCAGAGTCACATGGAACAGGACCAGCTCTCCCGGATTTGTTGGTTTCCGCAGGCCGTTCCCACCTTGCGCCGCACGCGTTCCAGTAGTTGCTCTCGGCCGCGCACGAAGCTTGGGTGCTGGAACTCGACGTGGTCCCGTTCAGGCCTGAGCAGGCCGCCCTGCTCGATGCTCACCACCTTCCGAAAACCGTCTATGGAGTGGGGCGTGGGGGCGTAAATTGCCCCATCTCGGCGCACCAAGTCACCCACACCCGCTTCCCATCCGGCCTCCCTAGGGACTCACACATGTTTAGTTGACGCACAAAGCTCGCCATGTTGCTGTGTTTGAAGTATTGGGGCAGCACTTCCTTGGCGAAACGGCTCTGATCGCTTACGAGGAAACTCGTCCCGCTCTGTGGAGAACGGAGAACACCGCCCGCCCACCCACAGTGCGGGCCGAGACCCGACGACACCATGAGCCGCGCCCACCCACGGCCAAGCCAGCGCTCTGGCCGGCGCACACACATACTCGCGCTCACTCTGGGGACCGAGGCTGCCGCTCATGGGGACGTGGGACGAGGCCAGGCCAGAACAAGCTCTGAGGCCTAGCCTGGAACGCCCACAATGAATTTCTATCCCAGCCTACCCAGACTCCGTACTCGGTTCTCTGAAAGGAGGATCGGAGGCCAAACCTGGGTTCCAGCCCCGGACGGCTCCCAGTCCCGCGATGTGACTCTGAGCTAGAACCAGACCCAGCCCTTCCCTTCTCCTGGCCTCTGTTTTCCGATCTGCCTGGTGGGGTAGGGTGGGAACTAAATGACCTCGAAGATTCTTCGGGCTCCAGGTCTCCGAAAGGCTCCTACCCTTTCCTCTGCCGGGAGGAAGTCGCCTCACCTCTATCTCGAACACCCCCTCCAAGCCGTCGCATACCCTGTACGGCTGAATCAAGGGACCCACAGCCCCGTCCCAGGCGGGGGTTGGGTGAGCGTGG